TTCCTTGGGAAAACAAGTTGCCATTGGAGAATGACCTGCTACAGCCAAAGTCTTCTGCTTCTGCTCACCTGTTTCTATCTTCCACCTGGAAGACACAAGACAGCTGCCCACTCACCCTCACTTTTCCTGCCTCACAGACCTGCAGGTTCTGCAGATCTGCACTTATCTATACTCAGGTATGGATTCTCACTGCAGCACATGTAATCTGTGGAGGATGTAATCCAGCACTGCTGCCAGAATTCTGTGCAAGAAAGGCCACAGTGAAGTGGAGAGAGCAGGGCACCAGAATCCCACCAGAGGTCTGGAGAATAAGGAGAAGGAAACTGAAATGATACCACCCATACTTGATGCAATGACAAGGCTTTGGCAAGTGGGTTTTTCTGCATTCAAGGGCCTTTGGCAAAGGAAGCTTTCACTTCATGTCAAAACAGACAGAAAAGGACACAATGATGTCAACAGGAGTATCTGGGGATTAAGACTAAAGTACAAAACAAGAGGCATGTGAATATGACACACAAATACACCTGCATGCCTTTCATTTGCAATCACTTACTAATTGTATCAGAGCATCATGATCCCCTTATCACATATGGCAAACCCAAGGTATGTTTGAACACTTTCTGGATTACACAGTTCAGGTAAAAAAAAAAACTTGGTTACCAAGTAAATCTGATCTTACAAAATCAGCCTTTGTCTGTTACAGAGTCAAGACAAAGATGTTTTCTTCTGGCCAGAAAAAAAAATATACAAGTTTTAATAGCACATCTAAAATTATCTAGATCTGTACCATTTTTATTTGAGTTTTGCAAAAAGCCTTTGCAAAATCTTTAGGGAGATAGATGCACCTAATATGCAGAGTCAACCAGCATACTTCAGAGGAAGAAAAGTGTATTTTTTAATGTTTCTGATACTGGAGCTTGTAATGAAATAGAGCACATGTTTTTCTCTATTCTGCTGTCAGCTATTTTTTGTTTCTCTTCAGTTGATGCTTGGCAACAACAAAATTTATTTTCTCTGTCTGTGTTGACTGAAGTGATGTGGTCTCTTCCTTCCTTGCTCTCAGCACTACTTGTGAAATACTGTTTATTAGCAGAGGGTATGACAAGCCTTTAGATATTAACTTTACAGACTGAAATGGTAGCTATTTTGCAAAGTAGAAGTATAGGATGAGAGAAGACAAGTCATATATACCCTGACAGGTGAGTAGTCTAAATCAGAGAAACATCACAACACAAAGAAGGCAGCTTCTGTAAAACTTGAATCCTCTTTACTAGCCTCAGATTTATGAAGAAAAAAGTTGCTCATCACATGGCTCTTGCCCAAACACCTGTTCTGCAAATTAGCCAGTGATTTTCATCTCCAGTGAAGTTGATAAAGTATTTCAAACCCATCTTTACAAAGTATGCTCATTAAACAAAATAGACATATAACCATTCTCTTCTAAAACATGTAAAGTATTTCTCTAGAGCCTTATTTAGTCCTCTTCTCCACACTGAAAATAATTAGATCCTCAGAGTGAAGTGCCATACAACTTTGGTAAGGACAGCAGAATGACTCGTTTTCTGTTTGTTACATGGTCCTTGCAACAATACACAGGTTCACAGCAGGAGGTGATGGAATAAGACACTACACCAAAGGTTTTCCAGAGGCAGCTTAAAAACCCTGAACCATTGCAGCCAGCTTCATTTAGAGACCGTTCACAATCAAGGATTTGATTTAAAGAGTGTATCCAACAGTAACTCATCAACCCGTGTCACTGAAGAATTAAAAGCCTTAGAAATAAATCCCATCTCTGAACCCAGGCCAAAGCCTAAATTTGCTCTAATTTCAACAGTCTCAAGCAATCACCCCCAGCACCTGCCAGGACATCCACCCCTACAGCCTGAAGACCTGGACTTTTCCAAATTTCTGTCCTGGTTAACAACTGCCATTTTTTAATCCAGGGAGGGCTAGGAACTCCTTTGCATGTAAAACATATGTTTTGCATTTTGCAGGTGTGATTTGAGCCCTGTTCTCACAACAGGATGATTCCTTTCCTTCTGTGTGTGAGGGACAGAAGGTATTATTCCCAATATAAAAGATAGAATTTAGGCACAGAGGAGTAAGGATAAATATTTATTAATTTTAATGTCCTGTTTGAAGAAGTAGAGTCTGAATTTCCAGAGAGCTTTGTGCTATTTAGAAATATGTGTTCAAGATAAGACAAATTGCAGAGACTCCAGCTGTGGTTGCTATTTATGCTTTTATAAACCAGAGCCCCCAGGTCAGACAGCTGGAAAAGGGTAAAAAGAAAACATCCCAAAGACCACCAGTGAAAACTTTGATTTACCTGATCTGTCCAGGACTACACAAACCCTCAGTGTGTGAATCAGAACTAGGCCCCATTTTCTGTGTTCTCTGCATATGGTGACTCCTTTCCCTTTAGTACCTGCCTGATCCTCAGCTCAGTGTCTGTGTACTAAAACAAACTGAGCTCCTGATTCATTCCCAAACCAGCTCTACACTGGGCAGCACAAAAGAAAGCCCTGAAGTTAAAGACCACAATGACCATGCACAGTGCAATTTCTAAAATGGTAATTTTCTCCACAACTTCTCTATGTTTTGAAAAAAAATTTTTTTTTTAGAAACAAAAACCCCAGCCAAACAAAACCACAGAAGCTCTTTTTTACAAGGAGTCTCAGATTCTGAAATCTGGGCATGTAATCTTTTGCTTGTTCATTGGAGCAAACTGAAGATAATCCCATAATTTCATCATACTGATGAATATCTTTCCCACCAAAAACATGCTGACTCACTGTTGCTTGAGCTAGTAAACCTTCAGAAATGCATTGTCATCCTCCTTGAGGACCAGCCCTAAGGGAGAAAGAGATGTTCTGAGACCAAGAACTACAAGTCTCCTACCAGAAAGAAATGAACTTTGGAAACTCTATTTCTTTCCCAAGGAAAGGCAAAATATGGACACTATAAAGTCATCCTCAATCCAGCCCTTCCCACCTCTGGCTCTTCCTCCCTCTTCATTGGGCAGTTCCTCTGTACCAGCTGAGCTTCCATGCTGAGATAGGTAGGTAAATGCATTTTGGGATGCAAATGTAAATTCTGGATCTAAATGAAGTGTACCTGGCTGTGTGCTCCCCCACAGAAAGTCTTGCTTAGCTTTATTATTTATTTTACTTTCTGGAAAATATATCTGGCAAGCTTTAGCAAATAATTAGTCTGTAAAAAATACATGAGCAGTGATAAGAAAAGGTAAATCCCCATTGTATTCTTTTTCCTGTTTCTATTTTTTGCTCTAAAACAAGAAAAAAACCAAAAAACCTCAAACATAAAACAAAAACAACTTTTTTATGTTAGGTAATCAGGACGGTATATTTTACATAGACCTTTATCTTAAAAAATAGATGAAGTATGTCATCAGAAATTAAATTAAAATATTAAGTCTGTGGTAGATGCTTAAAAAGAGAATTTAATTTCAAATGCTTAAATTCTGGAAAAGTTATATAACTGAAAAAGGATGAGTAGTGAGAAATTTTAGTAGGTTTAAAATAAAGCTGGATCTGGAAGTAAAAATTTTATTTCACTACTTTTTTTCAAAAGCAGTGCACATACTCTCTTATGAAAATTATTCAAAATTCATGCTATATTTTGATCTTTTGTGAACAAGAAAAATAACTTTACAATGCAATTGAAGTGCATTTCTTAACACTTATTGAAATTTTTTCTTTTACTCTCTTGACGTGACATTTTGTCAAGTGATTTGCCTAAATTTGAAAGTCAAAAAAAAAAGGAAGGTAAGAGACCGTCTACTTATCCATTTAAAGAGTTAAGGTTTAATAGATTTTTTTTCAGGTCAGATCTTCAGGAATTATTCTTTTGACCAGTTAGCAAATTGGAAAAAAAATCACCCATACACCTCCAAAAAAGTGTCATTCCTTCATCTATCCATTTTAATTTAAAAATCTGGAGGGGAACACATACACTTTGGCCCTGATCCTATCAGAACATAATTATATATGTAATACATACGTAATTACATCTTTATTCAAAGTACCTTCATTGCTTTAGCACATGATTAGGTCCTCTTGGAATTTAAATCTTAAAATAGATGAGGAAAAAAGTGCCTCCAGTATATTTTGTAAAGGTGAATGGGATTTAGGATAAAAAGCTGAATAGGTTTGAGGGTAACAATGCCTCCCATTTTTTTCCTAAAAGCCAAAATACTTCCTGCAAACAGAAAACAGACACTTAGTAAGAGAATTTCTTTTCAGGAAAGTTGATGAACCTGTGACAATTTAGCATGGCACTGATTTAATTCCTATTAAGCCAAAAGGAAAGAGCTTGAGCTCATGACGTTATTTGGCAGAGGTTTCTGCACTAAAGGAACAGCTGTTCTTGTAAAGGTTTCTATCCCTCTGGAGTGACTTCCTGTAGTTTTATTCTATTGAAGAGGGAAAGAGGACTTAAAAAACCAAACAACCCAAACCAAGTCCTTTTATTAATAGGTGAATTTTGTACCTCTGGAAGATCTTTTGTCACAGTATTGAGATCAGCCATTTTATCTGGCCGGGCCCATTTTTAATGGGCTATTAGCCCATTAAGGTAAATGGGAACAAATAATCAAAATGATACCACCAAAACAAATCACATAAAAATCAAATTTTTCATCAAAATGCTGACATATTCATAGGCAAAATACTGGAGCGGATGAGAAGAGAAACATCAGGGGTTAACAATATATAGGGAGGCACCTGTGTCCCTCACAGAGTTTAGGCAGTGTTAGAGCAATGAACAAAATTCCACACCAGCAGAGGCAATTGACCTGCTGTGTCAATGTATTCATTAGACCTGCAGTCCCTGGAAAAGCTTCTTCCCCAAAGCACTGGATTCAGCTGCTGCTTGCTGCTTCAGGGAATTCTAGCTGCCTATTTAATTTTTATCAATCAGCAATTAATTAGCAGTTTCTTACAGAAAACATCTGATAAACAAACATAAAATAAACTCACACCAAACTCCCTGATGATGGCCTCCTCTTCAAAACACACTTGAAAAGAAAAGCTAGTATAAGATCTTAAAAAAAAGGAAACCAAAGAAACACTCTTTAGTTCCAAGTGATTTATCCAGAGTGGAAGACAGATGGTCTTTGCATGTTTGCCCGTTGTTGGTTTATTCTTTGCAAATACAAGGACCTGCAAAAAGACAAAGAGAGTGTTAAAACTGACCCTCCTTGCATAGGTTTGTAAAAACCCTTTCAAACCTCAGGGCTAGGAGCAGAGCAGAAAAAAACTGGGTAATTTAAGGGAACACTAAAAGGAACTTTTGTGTGAACTGCTTTAATGGCTACTTGAAAGGTAAATGAAAAATGCTTATTAAGGTTATTTTTTAATCGTGTCTCATTCAATTTCACCCCTGGGTCTTGCCAGAGTTTTAGCAGAAATTGAGTTCTTTAAGGTATAAGGAAAGCACTACTGCTGTTTTCTTGTCTCTCCTGTTCTCATACATGACTTGTAGCAGACAAAATGTTCTCGCCTTGCCATAGAACACATCAGTAATAAGAAACATGAAGATTGTATAAGAAAATAGTGAAAAAAAGCTGTAAGTTTTATCCCTTCAAAGCAAAGTAGACTGTCCACAACCTCAACTGCACGATCCTTAATTTGTGATGCAGTGATAAAGTTGTAGGATGCCAAATTTGCTGGAAAGTTAAAAAAATAAATGTTGGGATCAAGTGGTATTCTGTAATAAAAAAGGGGACCAATAAGTCAAGGTGTAACAACTGTGAGCAGTTCTCATCATCCTATTTTCTGAGCAAACATGGAATTTTGAACAACTCATTCTCCTGCTGAAAACTCCTTTTTCAAGGAGAGAGGGTGGAGGTGATCTAATTCAGTCATGCATTTGTTGATGTTGCCCAGCTGGAGCAAGAGCTGGGAGACAGCTCCAGCTCTGTATTCAGAAGGGGCAGGCTGGACTGCCACACTAGTGGCTTTGAGGTCAGATTTTGGAAAGACTTTCAGAGGATGGTTTTTCTATCCTATATGTGCATCATCCTGCAGGCTTTGTTTGCACAGAGCAGCCATTGCCCTTGTGGATGAAAACAAGTCTCTGTTGACACTAATGTGGGCTCGTGGCCTTGTACAGACCCAGCAGTTTCTTGGTGATGGGAGCTTATTTGTTTCACCAGACACAAGAGACTCTGAGGCTTAGCACATTGGGGAGATTTTCACCACTTTCTCAGTATGTGCTTTTCCCCTCTTTGGCCAGCTGTTTTCCAGTGCCTCTTTCTGCATCTGGACTTAGACAGGAAAGGGACTTCTAGAACATTCCTTTCTAGTGCTATGTGCTTGCTAGAGCTGGCTTTAGCCATCCCCAGGATTTGCTTCTCTATAAACACCAAAGTACAATATCTGCAGGACCCAAGGGTGATATTTGGGGACAGCCTGGTGTGCTGCAGGTGGGCTCTGGCCCAGCTGGGAGCAAATCCCAGAGAACCGGGCTGCTGCTGGAGGCAGAGAAAGCTCCTGGCAATTACAACCACTATCATTCAAAGTGAGAGGAGAGCAGGATCCTGCCAGCCCTAGAGGAACATGTTATCTCTTATGTACATGTTGATGTAGCTGCAGTGCTCCTTTACTGAAAGCTGGGTGTCCCAGCCTGGCATAGTGCTGGCCCAAAGCTGTAAGACCTGACCAAATCCATAACAAACAGAAATCTCACACAGCCAAGACTCTGGGCTTTATATCATGAATTGTAATTCAGCTGCTGCTTTGAAAAATGGTTTTGGACTGTCATGTATGCCTGTATGTTTTATCGGCTTAGCCCAGTGTTACTGAATTTGTCATTTCTCCCTTTTGGAAGGAAAGGCTATTGAAAGGCACCCCAGCTGTTAGTGCTCTGGAGGATCTAGCCATGCCAATAGCAAGAGGGGAGTTTCAAAATAGGAGCTTTAAAATCCTCCTGCCACAGCAGAGTGAGGAATGATTTGATTTGCTCTGGTGGATGATCAGGCTGTACATACAAATTCATTATCTGTATTCCAGGTGTCTAAGGAGATTGGTAATTCACTCGAGTGTGTCTCTGGTGGCTGAAGAGTGCATCTGAATTCCTTGCTATGTCTCCCGACTTCACAGTCAGGAATGCAATCAGAAATATTAAGCATAACCTTCCAAATGATAGTGGCAGGAATTTATCAGTCCTGGCTTGCATGATGTGATGTTGAAACCTTAAAACACACAAGTCTTGGGGCTCTATTCCACGCCAGTGTCTGGAACAAGGTTGAAGGAGAATTTAGGGCACATGAAAAATAGATGGTCATCCCTGACAGACACCATGCAATTACAAAATTAACTCCTTGGATACCTCCCTGACAGGCTCTCCAGTTTCCTAGACCTACTCTCCAAAATGTCCCCAGTCATACCATCTTGCAACCTACCCCTAAGCACAGCTAATGCCCCACCCTCTAAGTTTCCTGTGGCATCAAATCTAGATCATATCCAGAAGGTGTTACCAGATTGCCCCTCACATACAGCCGTCAGATCAGGCTCCTCTGAATCTCTAGTGACATATTTGTTACAAGATTATGTGGCTGAGTGGCTACATACTATTTATATTAAGGGGAGTTATGGAGATAATTTCCTTATAACAATTTTTACAAGAACCTGTCTGACATATTTTATTTTTGATGTGGCTCTCGTGCTTCACTTCCTAATTTTTAATTTCCAGAATCCAGTCTCCTCTTTCATGTTCTCATGCTGGCCCAGTGCACCTTATATTCTGCACTACTGGTGACCCCAGTGGAAAGGGAAAGACTACCCACAGAGGACAGCCTGCTGACCAATGCACTGCCCTGCAGGGTGAAAAAACTGGGTCTGAACTCTCTCATGATGAAGTAAACTTGAACCTTCACCATCCACAGAGTGGCTGGATATTGTACAGCAGAGGCAGCAGTGGTGTAAGTCTTATAAGGTGCTTAATATTCATGATCATCCCATTCAATGAGGGATGGACATATGCTCTCCTCATATCCTGAGGCATCAGTCTTTTCCTGTGTATTTTGCACAGTGTTTGTTTCCAGGACTCTGTATTTCATCTACATCCTTCATTGAATCTTGCTTCCGTTTTTTTGTGTTTCTCTGCAAAAAACAACTCCAGCCATGAAATGCACTACATGAAAAGGTGATTAAACACCACAATTTGAAAAGGTCACCCTGTTAGTAAAATTGTACTCTATGAACACAAAATGCCTGAACACAAAATGATCTTCACTGACTTTCTAGTAATGAGAAGTACAGGTTACTTGGGGCTTTTGATAGCAGTAGCTCTCAAAACTGTATGGCAGCAGTTCTGAGAACAGTGACCTCCTCTATCAAGTGGGGATGAACATTTCTCCTCAGAGCTCATACTGATGTCAAAATACATAAATCCTTTCCAGATTCAAGCTTTAAATCTACAACCAATTCAACAGAAAGACAACACAGTCAATAACTATCTCATACAGGAATCCCTGGTGGCAGCTATATTGATAATTTCTCTTGGATTTAGAAAACCTGCTCCATGCAATAAGATGACATGGTAAAGAAATAAAAACAAGCTCACTTATAAGTTTCTCTCACTTGTCCGAGCAAATGCTTCTGGCAAGCCTGGAACCTTCAATTATACTTGGTAATTGTACAAAGTTCTTAAAACATTGGTAGTTGACTGTTCTAATTTGAATTTCAGCTCACCAGTTAAGAAGAAGCTCACCACTAAAGAAGCCCTTGAATTGAGATGCTTTCCTTCCAAGCTTCAGGCTTAGCATCCAAAGCAGTGACCATGCTCCTTTGGTTCACAGTAGAGCACCTGAATCACAGTTCTCTCTCCTCTGGACCCTGCCCTGCTACAAGTTCTGTGTGAACTGATGTTTCAACCTCTACTGAATCTTGATGAAATCATGACAGTGGCTGAGGATGAGAGATGACCAAGCTTCCTCATTTTGATACTTTATTAATATAACTGTTGTTGGATGAATATAAATTAATTTTAATAGCAACAGTGAATATTAACGAATAGGGGAATAATTTTGTTTTTCAACTAGGGCTAATAAAAATTTTCAGACTCTTTTTTTTTTAGCAAAAAGGACAAAAAACAATGTATAAGGATGGGTTCTCCACTTCAAAATGTGCCCAAAGGTACATAAAAAGATTAACATTTAAAAGAGTGACTTCCCTTTGTTTTGGTTCCTTTGCAAGCAAACCCTCAAATCCATACTAACAAAATTGTCTGTTTTTAAAAAATCTCTTTGAAAAATAAGATTCTGTTCAATAATCTATTCTCTGCAATTGAATATCTGAGTATCTATACACATATAACATGTTTTACTTGTCTTTTCCTAATTTAAATGGAAGCAAACAAAAAACTTCTGAAGGTCCTTAGCTTCACTGTATTTTAGGCCAAACAGTGCCCACTCATTATTAACTTTTTCCCATTTATGTGTGTGTATCTCAGTTACAATTTTATTTCCTTGTGGGAAAATCCTTTTCTTTTCCATATTTTTTCTATGACTTTATTGAAATTAATATTCTTCTTTCCCAGTTCCAATTGTGAAAGTAGCAGAAGAAATACATATTCTGCACTGCTCCCTTGGAAGCCTAGACTTGTCTTTCTTTTTATTGAGGACATATTTTAGACTTCTTATGTTTTTTGAGGAAAGCCAGTACATCATCTTGTTTAATCGGCAGTTTTCATAGAGCTCTTTTTTATTCTCATGTCACGATTTCTGACTGATATGACTGTACACATCTTCTGCTACTCAGACCCCCCGAGAAGCTTTTTGTACTGATGTATTTTATAAGCCTATTATATTATATTAGCCCCAGGCATTTGAAGTAATTAAAGGCAAAGGCTGCTGCTGGAGCAGCTCTTTTGGGGTGCAGTGACTGTGAGCAGCTTGGCAAAGACGCTGCTGCACCTTTATCGGGTTTGAAACACTCTCAGCCACAGAAATCACACTTCTCCTACTGTGGCAAAGAAAGGGAACATGTAAAGAAAAGCTTATAAAGGGGGTTGGGTAGGTTAAACCAGCAAGAAATGAGTTTATGTTTTCAAAAAGAATAGATCAAGATAAGGATAAAGGGAACTTTGAACATGAAAGTGACCAATGAAACAAACTCCTGCATAAAGAAAAAATAACCACCTAAAGGGACTTATAAGT